GTACCGCAACCCATCACATAGGACACAACAATAGTTTTTGCTACAGGAAACTGCGTTTTTCGACGCGTTAAACAAAACTGACTCCTGCAATGCGTGACGCACGTATGGACACAACGTATTATATATACATCACTGCGTAAATAGCATCACCTGTCAAGTTATTTATCGTAATTGGTAGCGGTTTAGTAAAAGACAGGATATAAAAACTGACTATTTTAATAACGGTGCTTTGACCGGCATTTTCACAAGAATTCATTGATACACCACGTCATAACAATTACAAAATTTTAYTCAAACCAGTTGATTATTTTACACTGATTTCAATTCTGCTATTTAGCTATTATATTGGTTTTATTCAGTTGTGMAATACCAATCATCCTAGAGGATTTAACTATACAATATTTATAGTTGCTAATTAACCTCTTTATTTTAACCCCAATCCTGTAGGATGTAGTTGAATTGAAATATTTTAAATAACCATCCCAGCCTAATTATTTACATATCCTATTACTAAACTACTCGTGTGCTGTTTAACAGTTGAAACACGTGCTTTTTATTACACTCCCAATCTATCCCATCATCCTTTGGTGATATAACAACTACTTGTGCGTATTCTTAAAGAATCATAACCACCCGCCGTACCTTGCGAACCGAAGCGCCATTTTAGGTGGACACGAAAATGGCGGATTTGTAGGATTTCTTAAAGTGAGCCCAAATCGTCTTCCGTCCTTACAGTTTGGACAGAAATACCTTTAACTAAGTACCTCACAGGTACTATCAATCTATAATTTATTGTATGCTTGACGCATTTAAACGTATGTAAACAATAATACGAGCGCGCAAGGTACAACGGGTGGTTATGATTCTTTAATCTATCCCATCGACCTGTGAATCTTTACTAAGCAGATCAGCTACACAGCTGTCTTTAACTTGTATTTTTTTACCCCTGCAATCCCATGATTCAGCTGATATATGATGTTTACTCTTTCTCAGGCACCCCAACCTATCCCGTCATCCTTGTACGTTCATTTCTACCGTTTCAAACACCGGTGCTTTTCCAGTCTCAACATTGGTGGATGGTGGACTATCATAGGGTGAGTTAGGTGGCTGACCACACCACACGAACCACAGAAAGCCAAACCAGTCTGGACAAAGAAGATTTCATGAGTAAGTGATAAATAGAGGATATTACATGGGCGCGCGGAGATACGAATTTTATCTTCGAGAGTTAAAAAGATCTCTCACGAGTGAGCAAGAAAATAAAATTCGTATCTTCGTGTAATATTTTGTTTTTTTATATAATTAAATATAACAGTAAATATGTCGTAAAATAGCTTTTTTTCTTAATTCCATTATAAAGAGAAACCTCGAATGTGTTATTTTCACAAGTGAAAATAACAACTTTGCGTAATGGAGAAATATAGGTATTTTATAGACAATTATATGATAAAAGTAATTCCTAACTAGTTGAATTCACGCTAAAATGTTCGACGTTGGACTAGTCTACCTTGTTCTTCCACGGTTCTTAACAAAATGAAAATCAATAACGCTAATAGACATGCGCAGAATGCGATGACAAGAAAGCTGATAGGACCAAGTCTCTCAAATACCTGAAACAATAAACACCTCATTAGCAATTGAATTATTAGAGATTATTAAAGGAATGAATTATAGGCATGCGTTCGTTAAAATACTTACTTGTCCAACTAGAAGAGGAAGGAACAGTTCGCCAAGAGCAGCACTAACAATCATGACGCTAGTTACAGGAGCTTAAAAAACATACATGAATACTATTATTAAATTGCAGTAATAAGAACGTTTTGCAGTAATAATTCCATACTTTGTACAAGTAGAGCAATATTTTTGATTCTTTTTCTTGTACGTGTCGCTCGCGCTAATGGGCGATATATTTCTTAAAGTGTCGATTCAGGATYGAGCAACTAATGTACGCGCTCTGGTTGGTTAGTGAAGTCATATAGGAATGTTTATGGTATCAATGAAAGGTTTATAATATAAWAGATGACGTTTTCACGAATTTGCGTTCAAATCATACCTGTCATCTCGATATAGTATTCTGCGAGGGCAATGCTCGTTGGAAAGACACTGCTCATAAATAGGCCAACGCCGGCCGTCCCAAGCCATAAAGCGACCTCATATCGTTCGAGTATTAACATGAATAGTGTCGAGGCAAGACAGCCAACCTTGAAATAATTAATCAAATCTAAGAAAGTGCTGCCTGCCAATTCATTGTGGGTTAGAATCCCAATGTTTATTACACTAAGAAAAGTTTTTTTTCGTTTTTTTTTCTCTATTATCGACTGACTTACCAAGTCAATGAACATCATAGTCGGTGGTTTTATGTAAAGTGCTATTCCTATGGCTACAAATCGACCAACGGACAAGCAACCCTAATAGAAAAAGCAATCATTAATCGTATAACATAATAAATTAAAAAAGATACCTTGGTTTATTGGTCACGATATATGTAGCCATTGATTTTTGGCCTTTTTGAGTGTCAATTAAAGAAGTAGTAACAGCTCAGTAAAAGGTTTTTCTTACCCAAAAYAAAGAGTTCAAGTAGGCTGCATGCCCTGTATTCATGTGAACTGCACCTTTGATGGCGTATGAGTAGATATAAGCCCCAAACGTAGCCTGAAAAAAGTCCGTTGATAGTTAACGCCTCGATATGTGTTTGTTATCTTCGCCATTCTTCTATGTTTTATGTCTATATTTTTCGACTATTACATATTGACCTTATATGGTCTTTTTGACTAGACATTAACCTAACAAGGTCTTTTTGACTGCACATTGACCTTATATGGTCTTTTTGACTGCACATTGACCTTATATGGTCTTTTTGACTGC